AAATTCATGCTCGCAAGCCTTGAGGGCCACATGATGCGCCAGGTTGCCACCCGCACTGTCTCCAGCAACAAAGAATTGCTTCTTGATATTGGCAGAAGAAGCTAGAAACCCTTCAAACTTTGGGTTATCAATGAACTTCAAAACGTCAAAACCATCTTCATACTGCGACGGGTATCGATGTTCAGGCGAGAGCCGGTAGTTCACGGAGACGACAATAGCAGGAACTTCACGCGCAAGTCGCTTGCATAAGTCATCGTACATCATTGAATTGGCCGCCATCAACGTAAAACCCCCGCCATGGAAGTAGACTATGACGGGGGTGGTGGAACCATCAGCAGCGGCGGTGTTGGTGTATAGGCGGAACCAAAGTTTGCGGGTGCTATCAACCATGATGTCAGAAGAGACGATGCCATTATCAGGTTTTTTTGAAGTTGAAGGAGAGGCTTTGGGGTCGAAAAATTTCGTAAAAAATCGGTTGATGGCTGTAGCGTCAGAGCTGCAGAATGCATCTGCAGGGAAACATATAGCAGCAAGCATAAGTCTGATTTTTAATGGAAGGATCAACATTTCGAGTTTGCTACACCAGAAAATGAAAGGGTTTCAAAGTGTTATTACAATGTCAACAAGATGCGAAAGGTAGGAGGAATTTAAAAGGAATGAACAAAGCATGAAGCCACCGGCAATTGCGATTAGATATTTTCTTTGTCGATGACAGGGCCAATATTGTGTACACAATAATTTTTTTTAAAGGACAAGAACAACTTAGCAAAGTTCTTCTAAACCATATATGTATACACTAGTTAGCTGGCATGTCTAGGAATATAAATGGGTAAATAAATTCAGGGTACTTTTTTTAAAAAAAAAGCATTTAATTTCATTAAATAGACACCATTGACTTAAAAACATCACTTATTTAGACACGCGAATAACTTTCTTATACATAATCAAGATAGTAAAATTATTACTATTCATGAATTTAGGTTAGATTTGAGCAGTGCTATCTGGTTTTTTTTTTTTTTGAGAAATAGATTTGAGTAGTGATATTAGTGTACCCATTACCTA